AGTGTCGCGCCCGTACCGGACGGGGACCGGCAACGGGATCGCAAACCTCGGTGCTGCGCCCGCACCTCGCTCAGCCAGTGAGCGGGAACTGGTCTGTATGTGGGATCCGAACCCTCGGCAGGAGCGCCGCCGCGCTCTCAAGCGGCGCACTGTAGCAGTGCACCACCGGGCCAGCCCCATTGTTCTTTTAAATCAGAGATTCTTCCTTTACTATTTGGGGCCATGAACTTGAATAAGAGTCTTCTATGCACTCTGGATCTTCTCCCCAGACACACACAGTCTCCTAAAAACTAACCCTAAGTTTAACATTCCTGCTCCCAACCTATCCTTCCCACGCCCCATCTCAAAGCCTGGTCCCCTCCCCTGCCCCTCCAAGCTGCTAGAGAGAGCCCCTTCAATGTAGCACCTGCCCCTCACCTCCCAGAACCTCTGCCTCTCAGGATCCAGCCCCCATCCCCCTCTCAGGCTCCTCCAGCCTCATCTTTTTTCTTTGCTCTCTCTTTTCCGAGGGGGGCAGTGGAATTTATACAATATTTAAGCAGCCAGAGCCGAGTCCGGGAAGATATTATTAATGTAAAAGGGACGGTCTGCAAATGCTTTTGGACCTGGTTACAATTAGAGGGTGATTTTTCTAAAGGTCAATGAATTCAGATAATATCCACAGGGGGGAGAGAAATTTAATACCTTTTTAGTGAATTAATTAATTATAATATTATATCGGCTTGGGGTTCTTTTCCAGAGTGATTAAGGGAGCGATCTGTCTTCTGTGAGGCTGGGGAGCAGCGCCTGCCGCCAGTGAGGGCACTGTCACAGGGCTCAGGATGGAGGAGGCCCTCCCCGCTTCTCTCACCCCTGCGGTGGCCAGGGAGCTGGAGGGGCTGTCGGGCAGGAGAGAAGGCGGCAGGACCTGGTCGAGGCTAAGGACAGGTGTGCTGATTTGCAGTGCCCTTTCCCTTCAGCCTGTGCCCCCTCAGGCCCAGCCCTCCTCCTGCTGCCATGTCACTGAGCCTCATGCCATGGTGGCCTGAACAGCTGAGATGTGGGTTATGACCTCCTCCTTTACACTTGGAGAAACTGAGGCCTACGGGCTTAAGGGAGTTGCCTGAGCCCCACTGTGAGTTAGGACAGAGTGGGATGGCAGAGCTGGCTAGATATACTGAGAAGACCCCCCACCTTCCACCTCCCAAACCAGGCCTTCCGGAAGATCTCCACCAGCCAGAGGTCCATCGAGCTGCCTGTGAAGTTTCTCCTTCTCAGAAAGAGGCGTGGAATGTGCACAGGATCTGCTTGTGAGATGAAAATGCCCCAGGAGTGTTGATATGTCAAATTGTTGCAATGCCTGGTGAGGGAATAGTTGAGATTTCTGTCCCTGGAGGGACCTGAAAGTGGCCAGAGAGAAGTGCTTTTCACCCATTTGTTCATTCAATCATGCACTCAGTCAAGCGTTCATTCAATGTTTGCAGCACACCCAGAGATGGACTGAAACAGCCCTTCTTGAGCCCTTGCCCACCTCATCTTGAGCCCCAGCTACTCATCTGAACAATGGGAGGGGGGCCTCCCTGGTTCCTTTCCACCCAGACAATGGTCCTTAACTCCACCTGGGTAGGAAAGCTGGCTGGGATGTAGGGGTCATTCTCTCAGCAATCCCCGAGCACCCCCTTTGAGCTGGCACCGTGCTGGGTACTGAGATACTCAAATGGACAAGGGCCAGCCCATCTCTGCGAGCTAGTCCCAGGGGGGCAGGGTGGGTGCAGGGGAGATGGACACGTGAACCTGCAGTGATGATTCAGTGTGGGCTTAGAGAAAGGGCAGAGGTGACATTAAGCTGGGTCATGAGGGACCAGGCTGACAAGGAGAAAGGGAAGTCACGTGGAGGGAGAGGGGTGGCATTCCAGGCACAGGACACAGAGTGTGCAAAGGTCTGACGGATGGGAGCACTTGCCGATGAGAGGGATTGGTGGGAGATAAGATTGGGTGGGTGGTCACCTCTATCCCTGCCCACGGGTGCAGGCATGTTGGCTGGAAGACTATTCTACAAGGCCATGGGTTCTGGGTCCAGGAAGGCAGGGAGCAGCAGAGCCAAACAGGCCTGCATTTAAATGTGGGCTCTGCCATGGCTCGCTGTGTGATGGAAACACTCCGTGCCTCAGTTTCCCCATCTGTAGTGGGGGATTGCATTATATACCTCCCGAAGATGTTGTGGGAATTGAAGGAACAACTGAAGGGAAGAGCTGGGCTCTACATTTCGCTCATGATGTGGCTCCAGACACTTTAGCTTTCAGAGGGCCTGCAGGGGCGGGGGGGTCAGGGCCCTGCACTAGTCAAGCCTTCAATTCCTTTTCCCTCCCAAGGGGGTGCCAGCGGAGGCCCTAGCCTGGGGAGCTGTCTGGGGGTGGGGAGATCACCATTTCCCTTGCCTCCTCATTCAGCCCCATCTTTCCCCCGTCCCTGCCTCTGTCCGTCTTCTCCCTCAATGCCCCCCTCATTCCCCTTCCAACAGCCCCCTCCTCCACTCTCTCCTCTCTCTCCATGTGCGGCGGGCCGGGGAGGGCCTTCCCATTGTACTATCTTTGGGCCCTAAATTAAAATTGATGACATCTTGAAATGAGCAGTGAGGGTAATTTTGCTTCTGAGCCGGGATGCTAATGAGGCCCCTTAATGGTGCGAATGCCGAGCTGACGGGTCGTGTGTCACACACGCGGCAGCGAAGGGGGTAATGGTCGCGGTAAGTGCTGGTAATTACACCCTGTCTCGCTATATTTTGGCAGGCCTGGTGGGAGAGCAGGGGCTCAATCACCGCTGGAGAGGGTGCCCCCCACCCACCACGGGAACGACAGCCAGAGATACCCCCCTTGGCCCAACCAGGCCCCTCAACTCCAGCCCCACCTAGAATGAGGGGTCTGGGGCACAGCCCCCCATGCTATGCACACACAGTGTGCAACACACATAGTCACGCATGCCACAGTCACACTATCGTGCACACCCCACCTCACACATATTCACCTCCACAGCCTGGCACACCCCAAGTGTGCATGCAGCACATGCAGAGACACACTCACACACATGCCCCCATTATGCTCCCCCCATACACCTCCACACCTTGCAAATACACACAGCTCCACGTGCACACCCTGCACGGCTTACACGTGCACACAAATACATTCTCATAGTATGCACGCATTGGGCGCCTACTGTGCTTCACGTCCACAAGCTCTACTCCTCTCTACTGACTCTCTTCTGAGATAGGTATTATTATTCTCATTTTGTGATGCAGAAACTGAGCCTAGGGAGACTCAGCAACTTATCCAAGATCACACAGCTGGGAAGAAGCAGAGGCAGGACTGGAATTGAGGTCTGTTTGACTTTGCAGTCTCTCCACCCCCACTTCCTCTTATGTATGCATGCACATATACCTCTCAATGTACAAACACGGATGCATGCATGCACATGCACACATATTTATTACACACAGGTCACATATATCCTTTGTGCACACAAAGACACATATGAATGCACTATGTAAATTCCCACGTGCTGTTGACACACATAGGTGAGGTGTACTTCAAATGCACACATATGTGCACGTGTGCACCCATGCTCAGGTCACATGGTGTTCACACTCCATGCACACACAGTGCATGTCATGGAGAAAGAAGCCCTGGGTGGCACAGGGAACTACTTGTGTAGCCTCTCTAGGCTGTGGCCTCTCAATTTGTAAGAAGGGGAAATAAATCCTGCTCTGTTTCCCTCCCCAGCACTTCACTGTTGTTAAAGCAGAATGACAGCTACAAAAAGGAACGTGAAGTGCCACCCTACAAACCCCCTGCAGAATCACACACTGAGTGCACGTACACAGATTGTACACATGTGCCCGCACTGTCCAC